TATATTCTGTCCCATTAGTCTTCTGCAGTTATCTCATTCTGTCTATCTCAGATGAACTCTATACTGCATGCATGTTAGTAAGTGTTCATTGTAAATATAATTTAGTTATCTTTTTACGCATGGAGGCAAGGATGGGGCTACAATTTGTATTTAACTGCATTTTAGAATAAAGGTCAGCCTCATGCAATTAATCAAGGTGTTCAGTGTGTTAAGTGCTAATAGAAAAAAGAAGCACACTTTGCCAATATTTGTTTCCTGAGCACAAATTCCAAAATAGCCCATAAGCTGTTCATTTCTTAATACTTATTTCCTTCCTGGTCACTACCAATGAACATCTTTGCATCTTTAGCTCTGCCTCCTGTGTTGCTCCTATTTGTCTGTTACAAATGACCCCTGACACTTATCTCCACCCTGTCTGCATGCTCTTCTTCACCTCTCTTGTGAACTGTGTGTAAGTTTGGATGGTTCATCCCAGGTATTGGGATCCCATCGGGGCTCAAGCCGATACCAGACGTAATCCCATCATCTTAAACCCATCTCTCACCCCTACCACACACCCTACCACTATTTTATGAGTAGTAATATGAAGGCACTTTTTTGCCACAATAACACTGTATCGACCCCCCAATGTTCCTTTAATGCAACAATCCCTATAATTATCTAGTAGCCACACACTGCAACAGTAAGACTTGATGATTAGACAAGGAGTTACAGCTAGGGACCCAACAGACAGCAAAACAAGTCATAAAACAATAAAAGCGGCTTCCTTATCAAGAGCATCCCAGCACACACATCTCAACTGTAGTTCCATAGTTTTCACCTTTTTTCTTTACAAACTGCTCCTTTATCTGGCAATTACACCTCCTACTGACTAACTGAACCTCCATAGTTTTTCCACCTTTTTCTTTACAACCTGCTCTTTATATCTGCATCTCAGAGGCCAACTGAAACCAAATCCACCTATATAAAAACACCCCATCAGACACGCAGTATTTTCTTCAGCACAACTGCCGCAAGGTATATCGTTTTAACTTTTTTTTTGGACCCCAGACACAGCGGTGTGAGGTAGTTAGCACACAATTTGGTCATGAAGAAAACATCGTTTGTTTGGAACACAACAGCCGAGAGGTAAAGAAAAACTAATCTCAAAAAAAAAGAATACTTAGACTCTCAGATGTTGAAATTCAGATGTTTTTTTTTTTTTTTTAAGTTTTTTTAAGTATGGGTAATGTATTATTTGAGATCTAAGGCATACACACACACACACACGGAGCAACAACAAAGAGAAGAAGAAGAGGGTGTAGTTTACTACGCATCATAAAAAATGCAATCATTCATCTTCCAACTGTATCTTTCTGTTCTGACTTTAAAGTCCTTGTTCGTATACTGAGCCGTACTTTGGGAGTCATACTGTTGTGATACTGGGGAGAAAAGGGTAAGGTTTGATAGACTAAAACCGTTACACACAATACTTCAAAAATCTAAAGAGTGTGTGAGGCTGTTAGCTGTGTTGTCCAGCAATAAACTTATCTACAATGTGTTAGTAAAAGAGTGACTTGTACTTCTGTCCCATTAAGCAACGGTTTAACAAATTTCACTGCAAACTATAAAAGAAATCTGGGTTTAAACAGTACATAGTAGTGTTGGATTAAGTATAGGAAACACTAGTATACAGTGTCTATGGAACAAATCTCCTTCAACATTCGCAATGACCCAAGTGGATGACTACAGCCATTTCTCTCAGTTGATTGTATTTAAGGAAAAAGCAGCTAAATACACTGAGACTGCGCCACGCTGTTAGCGAGTTAACTCTGGATGTCTGTGGGTTTTGTTAACTTGGAGTGAACAAAAGCAGAAAAACACTAAAAGATGCCGACAGTGAAAGTCTGGTTTAATTCATGAATACAATGAAACATTTTACAGTTTACAGAGCAAAGCAACATATATGATAAATAGATGCACATAGCACAAACAGTGAGACATAAAACTCATCGTCTTACCAGATGTTATATTCTGTAAACTTAAAATAAACTGCTGAAATTAGAGTTTAGTGTTTTTAAGTAGTCTATTAAAGTCATGTAGTCATGAGTCAACATTACAAATATTTAGATTCTTGTTTCACAATGTGAAGGAACTCAAAATCTTTAGAGTTTCATATTTATAAAGTAACGCAAAGAATACATTTATGCCACTGTATGAGCTACACTTCTTGTAAAAAAAATGATTGGAGATGCGTTTGAGAAAAGCTCCTGCCGTGACCTTCCATCTGTGAGTGCACGCACACACACACACACACACACGCACACACACACGCACACACACACACACACACACACACACAGGGAGGGAGGGAGATCATTAATATAAAGGATTGGAGCCGGTTTTGGATGTTCACTTGTTGTTGGATTTAATATGAACATCCATCCATTCACTTCCGCTTCTCCTTTTCAGGGTCGCGGGGGGTGCTGGAGCCTATCCCAGCTGACATAGGGCGAGAGGCAGGGTACACCCTGGACAGGTCGCCAGTCTGTCGCAGGGCCAACACACAGAGACAGACAACCAGTCACACTCACATTCATTCACACATTCACACCTAGTGGCAATTTGGATTATCCAATTAACCTATCCCCATAAGCTAATATGAACAGTCACATAAAATTCATTATAATTTTTTGCCTTTGCTTCAATTAAGATGTTTCTTTAAATCTACAACACCTTCCTTCCTTTTCAAAAAGTTTACTGACATAGTAAAGAAGTAGCTAGGGAACTCAGTAAGTATGAGCAACAGTAGCTTAAGGACAGTTTTTCCAATAAATAGGATTTCATCATCTGCAGTTTGTCAAAAAGTGCCATATTAAAAACAATTCAGCAGACCCTCAGAGTGCGGATACAAACTGTTTTCAGCTATAGAGGTGGAGGTACGCTTCATGTACTTATCAACATACAGTTCAGAGGCTTGCATTAGAGTGCATTGGTGCTTGGGCATCTTTTATTTAGCGTGGTTATACCATTGTGGATTTAGCTATATAAATATGCTCAAGAGTCTATCATATGTTTGACATGCAACTAAAAATTCGAAAATATATTTTTTAAATCAGCAACTTTGCAAATTTAGAGGAAATGTTTTTGGACAACACATGTGTCACATTTTAAACAGGGTTCGAATAATCAGCGCTGACATACAGACATTTATGCGCTGGGTATAACAAACATGCTTACCATGTGAAAGGACCGCGGATGTCTTGGAGCAGAGAAACTGTTGGGGCCCTACCTGTAACCCCCTAATCATCAAGTCTTACTGTTGCAGTGTGTGGCTACTAGATAATTATAGGGATTGTTGCATTAAAGGAACATTGGGTGGGTCGATACAGTGTTATTGTGGCTAGTTAAGAATATGTGGCTTTTAGAAGTATCACAAGAAAAGTTTATTTCTAAAGGGATACATGTTGTTTGTGGTACTCTAGGCCCTGTGTCTTTCGGAGCGCAAAAGAAAAGTGAAATGCTCCTAAACTAGCTAAATTAAATCATCTATGTCTAAAAAAAGTGCCTTTATATTACTACTTTCATGCATGCCGTGCACCACCCACACAAACTTCTCTGCCATTCCTGACTCATACAGTCCAGTTCTCCCATCTTGCAGACTGTCATAAGCTTTCTCCAGGTCCACAAAGGCCTTCGCTGTACTTCTCCATGAACACTTTCAAAACAGACATCACATTTTAGCTTTTATTCCTGCCATAAACCACACTGACGCTCAGTGATTGTGATCTCTTTCCTTAACCTAGCTTCAACCACTCTTTCCTATAGCTTCCTATAGCTGGCGGTATGACTTATCAGCTTTATCTCTTTGCAGTTACAAGGTTTATGAATCCCTTATTGCACAGAGGTAAAGCAGACATGGTCTGTATTCCCCTTAGCTCTTTGTAAGTTTTCATTTTACTCTGCATGCCTGTCTTTCGGATACTTCCTATGTTTTTATCACTTGCTGTTTTTCACTTCTGGTCCCACACCTCTCAGTCTTTGTCATTAACATCCTGTATACCATCCCCTCTGGTCTTTTGGTTTATATTTCCCTTTTGCCTTTCTGGATTTTTTCAGTTTTTGCCCTTGTGAATATTTATGGTCACCCTGCTGCCACCTGAAGTTAAGCATGCTTGCTACCTTAAAAACCCAAAACCCAACACTGCTTTCTTGTAGACATGTAGCCTGAGCAAAACATGCAGGAAGTATCTTCCTTATATGGAAGATTATGGCTCCCAGTAGACATCTGTATTGGCTATGTCCAGCTGTTTATATTGTGGTGATTTCCCTGGGATTTACCCGGTGATACATGCAGGGTATTGGACAGCCTGTTACTGTTTAAGTTGTTTTAACCATCTTATCTTTCCTTTAGCTTGTTTATAATTCTTGTATCGGTTGTGCCAGTGAGTTTATTTTTATTCATGTGATTCTCTATTCAATACACTCCAGAGTGTATTGAACAGTTTAAACTTAACATTTCATAAATGATAACTTTAAGCTTATTATTCATGATAAATGATAATTATGATAGAGGTGTTTAAGACCTAGGACGTTTCTGGGTGGTTAACTGTAATGAAAAGAACTACACTTTAAATAAAATACCACTTGATTGCTTCAGTTTTTCCCCAAGCGCAGTTTTAGCGTGTGGGATAGGCAATTTGCTTACACATACACTCTCACATAAGGACAGGAAGGAAACGTAACCAAGCATCACCACCAGGTGTCACCCTGCACCATCCCGTATGACAGGAGCGACTGCAGAAGAGAAAAGCGCAGCGCCGCTCCACACTGATTCAAAGGAAAATTCATACATATCTGAAAATAGCGCATTTTCAGATATTTTTCCACTACTTTGGATTTTCTAGTTTGTAAATCGCACGCTGGGGTTTTGCCACTTCATTGAAAAAAGACTGCAGCCAAGACTCACATCTTTGACTGATTCTAAATAATAGGATCAGAAGCTATGATTACAGTCTTTGGATGTCATTTCAGAGCCTGTACGGCCATCTGGCTGTAAAGGAATACGTAGCTTTGTGACCTAAAAACCGCCGACCTTCAAAGCAAAGAAGCAGAAACAGCTTTGCCCCGGAAAGTCTGACAAACAAGCATGGGTGGAGTAACGGGTCTTTATCGCGCATAGCTCGACCTTTATCTCATCTAAAACGCTTCATAAGAGCTGGGCCAAGAGAAAGAGGGTAGCGGTGGGAATCGACCGTTTCATATGCGCAGCTGCAAACCCTACTTTCTCAAAATCCAATCAAGCTGCAGCGTCAACAAAAAAACTAAAAGCTGGCGCATCCTCCCACTGACACAGTCTACTGCTGGCCCTACTGTAACTGAGACCGAAAGAGGAACGAAGGGGGACGCCCGAAGGTTAAAAAAAGAAAAAAGAGACGCAATGACAAGGAGATACTTCTAGCTGTGAAGTCGAGGGACAGCCAAGGATTAAGAGGGGGGATTGTGGCGGCCACAGCGGTCTTCAGCAGAGGTTGGTCATGATCGGACGCGCATTATGGGTATGTAAGACCCGGGCAGGAAAGAGGGGTAACAAGCCTGGGATTCTGCCTTTTCTATGCGCGGTGATAGCGTGCTCAGCCCTGTCGGCTCTGCTTTTCGTGGACTTCATTGAATCATGGGTCACCTCCATGGGAATGAACACTGTGGTAGAGCCGCACATCGGGATCATCCCACCGCAAAGCGTCCCTCCTACCAGACCAGAGGAATTTTTGCTCATGCCTAGCCCACTTGTGTGCCAACGTGCCAAGCCTTACCTCATCATGATGGTTACTTCGGCTCCTGCCAATCAGAGGGCTCGCCAAGCCATCAGGGACACTTGGGGAGGGGAGGTGGAGGTGAGAGGTCTGCGGGTCATGACCCTCTTCATGGTCGGTGTGGCGTCTGACCCCGGACTGGCTAAGCTGCTGATAGAAGAGGCTCGGGAGAAGGGAGACCTGGTTCAGGGGCGTTTTTTGGACACGTACTCCAACCTCACCCTTAAGACTCTGTCCATGCTGGGCTGGACCCGGAGGTTCTGCCCTCAGGCTCACTTCATGGCCAAAGTGGATGATGATGTCCTGTTCAATCCCAGCTCTCTCCTACACTTTCTGAATAAGAGCCGTAACCCCTATGAACAAGGAGACTTGTACCTTGGCAGGGTGCATCTCCATGTGGCTCCCGACCGGGACCCGGACAGCAAGCACTACCTACCCTCAGGAGCCTACCCTTCTTCTGTCTTTCCAGACTATTGCAGTGGCACAGCCTATGTATTGTCCCGGTCTGCATTGCTCAAAATTTCCCTGGCAGCCTCTGCATCACCTTTATCCACACCTCTTCCGCCCGAGGATGTGTTTGTAGGCTTGTGTGCCCGGGCAGCTGGAGTGCTCCCCTCACACTGCCCTCTCTTCTCCGGTGGACCGAGTATGCCATACGGACGCTGCTGCTATCAGGCCATGGTGTCCATCCACCACATCCCACCCAGAGACATGCTGCACTATTGGGCTGATGTGCATTCACCACCTCCCTGCTCCTGGTTGAATGTACGTGCTTCTTTGGGGATTTGCAAAGTCCGGGCGATGCTGGGCACAGCTCTGGGATTGGAGCAAGGATTGTGAGGATTAACGGAAAGCAAACTCGGACTTATTTGGAGGCTGTGCCTCGCTTCAATACTGTGAACAGCACAACTGCTCTTTAGGCTGTGAAGCTACACGTGCACTACGAAAATGCTACTTTGTTTAATTTGAAAGCTTTATTTTTTTAAACACCTCAATGTACTTATGTATCTTATTTTGCTGAAAAGGGAAGATCCGCTGGTAGTAAAGGGGGCTGTCAGGATCAGCTGTAGTATAGGGGTGTCTGCTGCCTCCCACATTACACTGACACGAACTGTAGATGTAGAGCAAAGTTTAGCATGCTGATGCTTTACAGTAAGGACGCACGCAGCAACTGCACATTAAAACAACATTGTTTAGATAACTAAGTCTAATGATTATAGGCTGCTACTTTCAACACCTGCACAGGCCTGTAGTCTAGGCCAAGTATAATAGTTTAAATGCATGTTCACAAAAAATAGGACCGATATAAAAATCACAGGCTTATTACACAGCAATAATGAAGTTTTAGAATCACCAATAATGACTAGAGTATTATTATTTTATTTTTTTTAAAGGAGGGATTTATGATGTTATTCAGCCACAAGGGCACAATATTCACACACAATACAAAGGGATTACCTCGATTAGATACAGGGATCTTTGGGGGTTCATGAAGGCTTCACATTACATTAAATAGCTGAAACCGAATGCATGATAATTATTTTCTTAAACAACTGAAAATAAAATTAATATGATGCACATCTGAATATTTATGCATCTGACAACTATTACTTATAAGATTCTTTTCTTATGGCAAGATTACACACTGACTGGCAGCTTTGCAATGCTGTGAGTTTTATGGTCAACTGTGTCAGGCTTGGATCACATACATTTTCAATGAGGCTGCCATTTGTCAATAAAACCTCAGGCTGTTATTCTCACCCACAGTGTTAAAGGGAAACGCTGATCCACTGTACTCAGGAAAAATATGTACCAATAAACTACTCAGTAATGAAAAATAGGTCTGTGTTTTGTTTTGAGCAGGATTGAACATTTCTATAAAACTGTTCCTCCTCTATAAATATACAGCAAAGTAGCAAACAGTTGTGACAGTCTGTCATGCTGCTATGATTTAGTTAGTTTGAAATACTTAAATTAGGATAAGCATCGATAGAAAAAAACCACGTAAAATGTGAATCCTAGAAAAACAGCCACACGCACATACAAATTAAAATATGATAAAATATTTAAAATACCAAAACCTTTAAGTTCCTCAGATGATCAAATTTCTGCTGTTCTAATTTGATAAAAGGAATTTTACTCCACCCAAAGACGTAATCATGGTAAATATATTCCAGCTTGGTTTGGATTCAGTAATAACAGTTCCGTGATTTCAAAATAATAGTCTCAATTCAAAGGCTTGGCATTATGTTGTTTATTTTTAGAATTTAGTTATACCCAATTATAACACAGTTGACATATGCTCAGCAAGTTCAGAGGAAAGAACACCATCTGACAAGGTTAAAACTTCTGGGTGAAATCAATCCCAGCTAGCACATCTGCCCATGCAAACAGGATGCAGACATCAAATATAGCTTCCTCCGCTGCTCCACTCAAAATTGATTAGTTGCCCGTCACAATGCAAGCCCTTCTTCCCAGAGTTTCAGCAGTTGGTGTTTTGCTCCCTGCAGTGGAATTATGTGTGCAAAAAAAAAAAACAACCAAAAAAAACGTGTTCTTTATGCAAAGTTCAAAGGTCACTCCCATAGAATGCCACTGGGCTTTCAGCTGCACAAAGCATGTTTCTTTTCTATTTCTTGAATCTGTCCAAAGCTGATTTCTGGGTAGATAACGCCGCCTTCTTCCGCTCTCGCTCCTTCCTTTCTTTTTCCATCTTCATTTTGTCCTCCACGCTTTTTCTGATTACATCCTGGGGAGTAAACAAGTCAAGAGAGATCAGCCATGGCCTGCAAATACAGCATAAAAGTCAGTGAGATGTGATTAAATTTCATTTCCTAACTTGGACTACTCACCCTCTGCTCCTCATGAGCCACTTGTTTCTTGCGCCTCTCAATGGCTCCTGCAGAACTACGACCTTTTTTCTTATACTTGGGGACAAACTTTTCTTTAGCAAGTGGATCAAATCCCTGAGACAAAAAAAAAAAAAAAAAAGGATAAAACATGCTTTCAGATGGGTGGCAATAATATTTAGCCTACTATATCTTATATCAAAATATACAGATATACATCTTAAATAATTGTAAATGCACAGTTGCTTTAAGACACTGACCAGAACTTCAACCCTGTCTTGATGCCTTTGTTCCCAGGTGGCCTGGTCAACTTGTGCCAGCTCAGTGGGATCAAGGCTGATAAGATCTGGCTGAATCTTCTCCATCAGTGCTTTAACCTCCCATTCCTGCCTCTGCTTCGCACTTCGGTATGGATTTGCATCCAGACCATCAAAGTTAGGCTCACCAGCACCTATGATAGTAAATGATGCGTTGCATTCAGTTTTAGTCAACAGTAATATGTATGCCAGGATTTACAAAAAAATAAAAAAATAAATTTACTTCAGTGAATGTAGTAATTGTAACAACCCATTAGGATCAATCATCAAATTAGTGCACCCATATTTTTGTTAAAATTTTCACTTTGGCCTTAACCTACATAATGTAGTTAAGGTACATGCCCAGATGTAATGCAAAATTGAGTGACCTGGTACGAGCATGCTGGTGAAACCATCTCCGTGCCCAACTCCGAGGACATCCTCAAAGGGACAGAAGTGCAGCCCCCACACTGTTCCCCGAAGTCTATGAGCCATGTACGGTTTAGTCACTGGCATGCTACATACGTCCTTGTACACCTGCAGATAAAGCATTTCCACATACAACATTAATACGTCATATCTACTGTTTATTAAAGTAAAGACACCAAGATATGTTCAACTCCTAAAAGCCATATGGAACTTTTCAATAGCCTCTTATTCATACTGAAAAGTTAAAGCATATAGCATGCATGTGGTTTGCGGCTTGCTTGGTGTTTCTGCATTTTGGTAAAGAAAAGGGCTGCAATAAGTTTAACTAAAATAGAACTTGAGCTATGTGCCATATTAATGATATCTGCTCAGTGAAGAAGACCTTTCTGACATTGAGCATTTAGAGCAGCCTGAGTGTTTAGCTTACAAGGATATGTGAAAAAATATGATCTTATTAGATCAATGCTTTTAACTGGGTAGCACTTTATAATAACGTCAAACTATTAAGCATTAGTAAAGTATTAGTAAGGGATTAGCAAGCACTTCATCATTTATATATCATTACTGCTCCGTTAATACATATGTTTATCCATCTGTTACTCTTACACCAAGTACAGCTATCACTGCTACTAATATATTACTGCTAGTAATAATCAAAATCATAGTTCAAATGATAAATCTGTATTTAAAAATGGCATACTAAGGAGGAGTAATGCTATATAAATGATAAATTAAGTACTTGCTAACACCATACTAATGCTTAACAGTATAACATTATCATAAAGTGCTTCCAAAAACTGTTGGCAGGTTAAAATTGGAGGTACAAGTCCTCACAGTCTGGGAGCTCGTTTGGTGTGTGTTGTACACAGTTTTGGCTTCCTCAGATGGGGTCTGGTGTTGAATTAGTGCTGTATGACTGGTCCAAACATCTAAGTGCTGCCAACTATGGTAACCATGGCAACCACCGAACCTGAGGGAAATAGTACTAGTATTATTATTATTATTATTATACACAGTTCAGAACAGCTTGCTGACCAGCTGGTCTAGCTCCATTGCACTGCCTGCGGTTGAGTCGCGTTTCTTTTGTATTGCTCCACTGCCAGTGGCCCAGGGCAGACACAATCGTTTTCGCAGTTTCTTCCAATATACCTTCCCAACCTCTTATTTATTTTTTCCTTCTCTTTATCATTATGACTCATCTCCATATAAATATCCATATTTATATGATGATGATGAAGACAACAACTATTACTGTAGGTGATATAAGTGTTATTATTATTTTTACAATAGTAACGAACACTGTTAATTGATATATGACCTGCTAGTAAATACATCAGGGGGTCACCTAGGCAACAGGCGCCTGCTCAGGTGCGATAGAGCAAGATGCGAGGAATACCCTGTACAGGTTGAGAATGTGCTGCAAGGCCAACTCAGAAAGCAAGACAACCATTAGAACTCACATTGACACCTATGGGCAGCTTAGATTCACCAATTACCCAACTCCTGTGAGGGGAAGCCCGAGTGCTCTGAGGGAACCGACGCAGACACAGGGAGAACATGCAAGCTCTACACAGAGAGGCCCCAGCCTGATGGTGGATTTGAATCCAGGACCTTGTTGCTGTGAGTTATCCTGACTGATGCACTGTTTACTAGTAAAGTGTGGTTTCACTCAGACATCAGAGATATAAATACTTGGATAAACACCCAACAAATCTCTACATGCAGAATTCTGCAGATGTACGTACTGCAGATGGTAGTAATAGCAAGATCACTCCTGTCACCAGTTGTATGCATGTAGAATGTTATCACAAGTGGGCTCCATATCTATTGCACCCTCGCAGAGGGCCTATTGTGGAGTTGAGGACAACCAGGTACCCTGCTCAAGGGAGGTAACGGCTGAGTGAAACACAGAGTCATAATTCTCTCTTTAAGGTTTTAAGGATGGGGCTGAAGTTATAGCCCCCCGTGACATGGGCCAACATGTAAGAGTTGTGGATTTTCCTTTGTTTGTGAGTTTGGTCAAGGTATAAAAGGAATCAGGGTGGTGGCCCATCTTCAGAGACTGCTTAGGTATTCAACCAGAGCGTTTCTCTCTAGAATAATGATGAAAGATGTGTCAAAAAATGTATAGAATAATCAGAGAGGGAAGGTGTTAACGCAGAGATAAAAATGATATTAAATAAATGTCTTAGTGTATCAGTTGGCAGGTGACAGCTAATGGCTTAGGCAGCGGTTGAGGTCAAGGGTCGTGCTGTTTGGGGTCCTGCTAGTCATCATGAGAAGATTCCAGAACCACAGCAATAACCACAAAAGTTAAGAAAGATCTCTGCGTTAGACGCTGAGGAAGACAACAAGGGTGTACGACGTGCTCTGGCCTTCCATCCTACAGCTGTGTTGGAACGAGAGAGCGAACAACAGCATGCCAAGCTCCAACTCGGCGAAGACATTCAGGGGCTCTGCTCAAGGAAGCCCACCGTGTGGGAAGATGCGTAGTTGGTGGATTGTAATTTATCAAATCTCTGTGGACAAGTCTGCGCAGTTCCACAAAACAGACAGGCACCCAGACTAATCACTTGATGATGAAACTTAAAATACTGGCACCCAATTGAACTCGCAGACGTGGAAAGTATAATCCCTGCTCACATCCCATCACATTGATACATGCATCAATAATTTATGTTATTTTGTTCTTTTTCTATGGTTCTTTTATTTGATCATAAATTGGATTTTGATTTTAATTATGTAACAGCATGATGGAAAATAAAGAAAGTAAAATAAAGGACAATAAAGAAAAGCTAATAGGTAGGACTCTTTATCCCCTGAAAGCCTACTAGGAGTCACCCTTGATGCTCTAATGTTCTGAACAGAGCAGGTTTTGTCATATTTCAGTTCTACTTATAAAACAAAATGACGTGAGTGTGCATCAGAACTGCCTCTGCAGTTACCCTGGGAAAACCTATTCTCATAGCCATCAAACACCTCTTTTCTAGCATTTACGTGCGAGTTTATGTACTATTTTAATATCAGACACTTCCTGTACCCTAACGCAACATTAGATTTGATTTTCTGAAACACCAACTTCAACCTTCAACCAGTGTTTACCCACAGCAAACCACTGCTAATAATAATAATAAATCAATAAAAATAAATCTCTTAATGTTTACCTTCTATTTTTTGAAAAAAAAAAAAAGAGAAAATCCTTTGCCTTATGGGGTCAAAGAGTGTGGAATTTGCATCTTCTCCATTTGTCTGTGTGACTTCTTTCCGGGTACTCTGTTGATACTAAATATATCGTTGGTGAAAATGTAAGCATTGTGTTTCTCTATGTCAGCCGTTCACCCTATAAAAGCACCCCTTGTAAAAGATTACTATTTTGTTTATGCTGGAGGACTCAGCCCGCCTGGAATGTTGATCATCGATGGAAGCACAATTCCCTCTAAGCTTTTCACCAAGTTGACGGATCTAGGACTCAGCTCATCACTGTGTCAGTGGATCCTCAACTTCCTCACAGACAGACCCCAATCAGTGAGGGTGGGAAAACAAGTCTCCCCCTCCATCTCACTCAGCACTGGAGTGCCTCAGGGCTGTGTTTTAAGCCCCCTGCTGTACTCACTGTACACTTATGACTGTGTAGCCACATCAGACACCACCTCCATTGTCAAGTTTGCTGACGACACTGCTGTTGTGGGTCTGATCTCCGACAACATCGAGACGGCCTACCTGGAGGAGATTAGGAACCTGGAGACCTGGTGCCAGGAGAATAACCTCCTCCTAAACATCAGCAAGACTAAGGAGCTGATCGTGGACTTCACTACAAAGCAGGTGAGGAATTACAAACCCCTCATCATCAGTGGCACGCCAGTGGAGAGAGTGGACAGTTTCCGATACCTGGGTGTCCACATCACTCAGAACCTGTCATGGTCCTGCCACATCAACTCCCTGGTTAAGAAAGCCCGTCAGCGTCTCTTCTTCCTCAGAAGACTTAGAGACTTCCATCTGCCACTGAAGGTGCTCAAGAACTTCTACTCCTGCACCATCGAGAGCGTCCTGACGGCAAACATCTGCACCTGGTTTGGGAACAGCACCAAGTAGGGAGTGGTGAGAGTGGTGCGCTCAGCCGAACGCATCATTCAATCAGAGCTCCCTGACCTGCTGTCCATCTACACCAAGCGGTGCAAGTCCAAAGCTAGGAAGATTATGATGGACCTCTCCCATCCCAACAATGGACTCTTCTCACTGTTGAGGTCTGGGAAGCGCTTCCGCTCCCTTAAGGCCAAAACAGAGAGAATGAGGAGGAGCTTCTTCCCCCAGGCTATTCGGGCCCTGAACCAGGTGTAGGACTGGACTCTCCCACACACGTCACTATAAGACTGGACTCTCACGCTCGGAAACACACACCCCACCACAAATTTCCTATAATTCCTATAATTTATAATCTTTATAATCTCTTCTGCTATTTGCACATTCTTTACTTTAAATTCCCAAGTTAATTTGTAAATTTTGTAGTAACCTGTAAATATTGTAAAACTTTTTTTCTGTCATTTAATGGTCGGACATTGTACAGCTACAAGCATTTCACCCCCATGTCATACTGTGTATGGTTGTGTGTGTGTGACAAATAAAATTTGAATTTGATTTGAATTGAATTCAAAGTAATGTATAAAATATGTATAACCAGTCTGTTAAACTTGCTCATGTTGGACTGTCAGTCAGCTCTAGAGAAGAACAAAGTGATAATAAACCAAGAGCAGAAGCCAAACTGATTGTAAAAAATAATTAACAGTCCTCTCTGCAGCCACTTTTCACACTATATTTATTTATATTAGATTTTTTTGTGTGCTTCTCCCATTACTGGTGAACTCCATTGGTCCCCCCTCCCCCATTCCAGCCAATGTATCAACCGATCAGCCTTCAACAGACACATGTTATCTACTTCAGTGATGTGCAGTGGGGATTTTGGAGTACTGCACGAGATAGGAGCAGGTTTCACCGGTTTGTGAAAACCGCTGTCTCTTTGCTGCTCAAACAGAAATGCATGTGTTGATGGACACATTTGCAGCATGTAATGTTTTTTTATTATAAATGTGCAAAGTGTGGCTCTGATAACCTGAACAACATCCCCTGTGGCTGCAGATAGCAGTCCCCTCTGGCTCAGTGACAAACAGGCAGCTCCAGCAGGAAGGAAGTATGACTTTAGGGGCTTGAAGGTTCTAACGTCATACACCTTCAGCTTCTTATCCATGCCAGACGTCACCATGTATCTGTCAAAAAAAGAGGAAAAAACTAAATGAAAAGACTACTTTCTGGTGGACCAACAGAAAAATGCAATTAACTGCTCACCAAAAAACTGAGTGCAAAATCATTGACCGCTGCAATAATGTACCCTATAAATCAAAAAACATTTTGCATGGGTTTTCCTGTTTTTAAGTCAAGGATTTTTTGATTTAACACAAAATTTAGACATACCAGATGTGCATAAACATCTCCCTTGTGATTGCTGAAGCTTTTACATCTCAAAAAGAAGGTTTTTGTTAGCATGTGACTAAATGAGGCTAGAGGAGTTGTCAGGAACATCAACAACATCATCCCACCAAACCCTTGACTTGGGATTCAAAGATCCGAACTAGGATTCATTTGTTAAGTGTACACAAAAACAACAACAACAACAACAACAAAAACTAAGTTCTTATAAGATAAAGTAAAATATATACTCAGTGGCCACCTAATGTGATTAATGTGACTTTGAATGTGGCGTGGTTGTTTCAGAAAATGCTCATCCACTGAGATGTTCCCAGCAGATCTCAGTAGATCCATCTCTAGGATTTACAGAGAATGATTCAAAAAAAGAAGAGCCCCAGTGAGTGGCAGATCTCAGAGGAAATGCCAGAGAAAACAGACAGACTGCTTCAAGTTGACAGAAAGCCAATAACAACTGTAATAACCACTGGTTACAATGAAAGTAAGCAGAAGAGCATGCCGAACACTTAAGCAGACAGGCTTCGCTGTGTGTCGCTGCTGGCCGCTAAGAACAGGAAACTGAGGCTACAATTTACAACTGCTCGCCAAAATCAGGCAGTGGAAGATTGGAAAACCCTGCCTGATCTAATGAGTCTTGATTTTTTCTGCAATATTCAGACACCAAGTCCAGAATTTGGCGAAAACATGACAGCATGGATCCATCCTACCTTAGTACCAGCTGAGCATTATTTAAATGTCACACCCTACCCAGGAATTGCTGCTAACAATGAAATTCCCTCTTCTGATGGCTGCTTTCAACAGGATTCGGTCATGTCACAAAGCATGAATCATCTCAAACTGGTTTCGTGAACATGACATTTTGTTCGCTGTATTCAAATTAAACTCGACAACCACCAGATCTCTATCTAACGTGGTATTGGAAGATTCACATCGTGTATGTGCAGCAACTGTGTAATGCTATCATGTCAATACGGACAAAAATCTCTGAGGAATGTTTCCAACATCTTGTTGCATTAATGTCATGAAAAGCTAAGGCTGTTCTGGAGGCAACAAGGGGTCCAACCTGGTATTAGCAAGTCACTTTTAGTGCCTAGGACTATTGTGAAACAACATCCAGGTATCTTTTACAGACATTACAAAAACATTTCCTCTTCTCATTTGACTTACGTGCCCGTCTTATCCACAGCGACAGAGCGCACGCCCCCTTGGTGACAGAGCATCTTCACCAAGGCTTCTTTCTGGTTTGGTGACCATAGGGTGACCGTGCCATTGGCATGACCTAGGTGGATGATGGCATTATGAGGGTTCTGACACATCACGTCAAGTCGGCCAGTCTTGGTGCAGATAGCTGCCACTTCCTTTCCCACTGACACATCCAAATACTGCAGGAAACTGGTAGCACTCTAAAGAAGACAGAAAAAAAAAACGTTTTACAGATAGTCAGGGCATCTAATTTTGCTTATAAATTTATTGTCAACAATAAATATTAAACAAAACAATTTTGACTCGTGTATATTTATCATGGTAACATCTAAACTGTCACAGTAACACATTCAAAACTGTTATCTTTACTCCTCTGTATTATATAACACGTTGTCATTATTGCAACAATGTTTCAGCCCTACTCTCTTACTCAGCTTACTCTTTTAAGAAAAGGTTTGGGGGCTTTTTGTACTGGCAGATTACTGGTTTCCCTTCGTAATCTGGCCAGCCTGACTAGGAAATGACATTTGTTTGTATGCAGGAAAACAGTCTGTACGCATTTACCAAAGTTCAATCTGAAACTTGGCTATCGTCTTACCACGATTTAGCTTTTTAAAAGCTTTTATTTTTATCTAGAGTTACACAGACTGCCAGAAGCCAGAAAAAATTAATCAGCTGACAAAAGCAAAAAAAGTAACTTTAATAACAGCAAGACTATGACCTGAGAAAATTAAAGCTTAATAAAAAGAAAATACAGTGGTCCCTCGCCATAACGTGGTTCACCTTTCGCGGCCTCTCTGTTTCGCAGATGTTTTTGGGTGTAATTTTGCATGCTTTTTTTTTTTTTTTTAACAGCGCATTGTGTTCTGCATCCTGCTTGGCTGCAGACCATCGTAAATCAATCTCGTGCTGTGTCTCCTGTACAGTACAGAATAGCTTCTCAAATTTACATGAATCTTCCATTGCTAGCAGTGTGACTCTAAAGTGCTGCACTGTATGATTGTAAGTTTTTCCTCACCAACAAACACAACAATGTCGATGAAATGTTTTGCACCGTCAAAGGCACCTGCGGTAGCACCCAGAAGGCAGAGGAAGATGCTAACCATCGCACAAAAAGTTGGACTTCTAGACATGCTAAAGGAGGGTAGAACCATATTTTTCAGATTATAAAGCACACCGGATTATAAGGCGCATCCTCTATTTCCATACCATTGATTCATTAATGTTGAATTCTCTCGCAGCTGCTCTATTCCCGTTCTGGTCCTGAAAACAGGGTTTGATCTTTGGTTTCCTTCTATAACACTGGACTTATTTTTCTACGAAGGTTTGAACTTTGAGAGAGTTTAAACAAGAGAGAAAAGTGTGAGAATGTTCATGCCTGTCTGAGAAAAGTGTATAAAGTGCGTAGTGAGGGGTTTTCCAGCCTTAAAACATCAATAATAATTGTAAAAGAATAAAGCTGGCTACTTTGCGGATTTCACCTATCGTGGGTTATTTTTAGAACATAACTCCTGCGATAAACGAGGGACCACTGTATTACATAATTTTTTAATTATTGTGGAAATGGAAATGCAAGAAATTGAAAGAAAAAAAGATTACTGTGAACTCACCGCTGTGGCGAGCAAAAAGTGATAGGGGAGGAACTGCATCCGAAGGACGTCATTGAATTTTCGGATGCAGTGAAGCTCTATTCCGTTAGAGTCGTAGATATAAAGCCACTTCTTCTGAGCCACTGCATACATAGCCTCGGTATGAAGCCACCTAAACAAAGGCAGAAATTTGTTTTAGTCTGGAGAAGATGATCAAAGTTTTATTTCTGCTTTGTGTTTCATGAAGGCGGATGACTTACTTCACATCATTGACAGACTCCATCACATTTATCTCACACATCAGCTGTTTCGACGCCCAGTCTATACAAGCAACATGGCCTCTCCTCCCACCAAGCAGCAGGTGACTGAAGTGAAGAGAACATAAATATTTGCAAAACCTAAACTTATGAAGTCTCTCTATTTATATCTAAATAAATCTATTTACTGTAAAAAAAGGAAATGATCATTCAGTTCTGCAGGTTCACCTCAGCTGTGGTTTAATTTCTTTCCATGTCTTTGTTTTAATTTACAACATTGTTTATTTGCACTCTCAGCCTTTAGTAACAGTTTTTTTCCAAGCACAGAGAATCTCAGAAAAGCTTAAAGAAAGGAAAAGTTTATTTCCTTTGCTTGTACTAACTGGTGAGTGTGCCACTTAGCAAAGAAGCTAGAAATAATGAAGGCCTAATGTCAAAATCTACTTTTGTCAGGAAGACAGAGTTGGAAATAAATATGTACGTTTCATATCTGCTTAGAAGATTACAAAGGTTATAAAGGATACTTAGCATTTCCTCTAGAAACGGTGAGTCGTCCTGCCAAGCCCATCGACAACTTAGGTGGACTTGACATAAATCAGTGTTTTACAAAAAAAAAAAAAAACAAACCCAAAAAAACCCCCCACCACTACATGAAGGAGCAATTTGTTAAATGTTAAACCATCTGCTGATATATTGGCCTTTTAAATCACTAAATATCAGTCTCTCTCCACAAGAGAGAGACAAAACACTTCACACAGATAAGCATGTGCTGCATGATATTGCATGATACTGACCGTCCAGTCTTGCTGTAATCCAATCGATACGGTCCAAACTGAGACAGTTTCAGATTAAAATACTGAGGAGGAGAAGATAACAAGAAATGAACAACACTCACTCTGCAGAATCTCTTCCCGTGACAACTCCATAGCAAATTTATGTCTACGGTTGGAACTGAACCAGCAAACCTTTGCTTGCAAAATAAATGTGTTAAATAGTAATAGTAATAATAATGTAGCTTGCCATCACCAGTGTGTGAATTTGTCAGCAAAACCAAACAAAAGCCCATAATCTGTGTTTCTTCAAAATTTCTGTGCAAATTTTTCTGTTTAATAAGTTATTTATACATTCACACAAAACCTTTTTAAAATCCATCTTCTCCCCCGCAAAAATGGTTGATGATGAACTACATAAGTATGATGGTATGACAGGTATCAGTTTCCATTATTTTCTTAACCAACTTCAGTGCACACTTCAGGTACAATTTGTTAAAACAAACAACCTGTCAAACAAACAAACATTTATTTGATAAAAAGGTCTCAGTACCTTTGCTCCAGATGTTATGTCCACAGCCTCCGCAATATCCTCCTGTGAGATCATACACGTGTCCTCATCTTCATCTCCTTCTAAAAACCTGAGATCAGGGACAAACATCACTCATGTGTTTTTAAATCACATGATATCTGTCACAGAGTACGATCTACACAAAGAGGTGAGCATCATTTAAAGGACATTACCCTGCCTCCTCCGGGAGGAGAAGGTCAAACCGTGCTGCTTGTTTCTGGGCCATTTCTGAAGCGTCTTCTGAGCGAGCTATGATATCTCTCAGCTTGTGCTGCTTACGGTGAGGCTATTACAAAACGAAAGAGAAATCAGATGAAAGACAAGCGCTGAAAAAAAGAGCATACTATTTTAAAGAAGAGCCACTCAGATGCTTACCTTTTTAAGTTTATCTTTCCTCTTGAATTTTTGCAATCTGTCTTCTGGAATAGGAGCAGGGCCTGGGAATGGATCAGACTTCTGAAAGAATATGAACATTAGTTAGAACAATATATAATATACAGTCCTATATTACCTATACTAAAATGTAAAAGCAGACTGAATCATGACAAACATTAAATGCTATCTTCTTCTTCTTCTTCTTCTGGTCGTAAGTGGTGCTTCAAACTTAAATATTACTGCTAAAAGATTCAGTACAACACTCATGAATCATCATGGGAGATTAGGCATGCCTGGCTACCTTTGTTTACATAATAATCTGCTTTTTGGGGGATATTTGGAAGATTTTGCAGTGTAATAGCAGTACAAAGGCGATGCATAGGCTGTTTAGTGCAAATAAGGGTACCCCAAACTGCATCTTAAACATATTCTAGTGCAACACAGGACCTCACTAAAACAGTTTAAGCAAGAGCAAGAAATGATGGCGTGATTTTTGTCTGTCAATAGTAATTCGTGTACTCTTACCTCTGGCTTGACTTTCTCTCCATCACTTGGACTTTGGTCTTGTTTTCGCTTCTTTGCCTTCTGTGTCTTGCCCTCCTCCTGCCGCAGAGCCTCTTTGCTCTGTTCTCCGTCGCTTTTAACTTTGTTTTCATCCTTCCGTTCCTCCTCCTGGAGCTCCTGCCAGTATCGAGCAGGCAGCTGTAAGATAGGAGCGAACAGTGGCAAGTTAGAAGAAGTGACTATAACGTATTTCGTTATTTAAGCCCAGAAACTTTTTACACTGGTCTTCGCCCCCGTGTGGGGCTACTCACATTAGCCGCTTGACGCTAGCAAGAAAAAACTACCTTACGTTTACTGTTTATTAGTTATAAAACTGCGTTCCTCAGCTGCAGTCTCCAATAGCTTCAAACGGCTGCGACGATATGCTTCTAGAAATTATTTATCTATATTTACCTTCTTTTTACCCACGTGTGTCTCCTCCACCGATGCCTCGCCGGGTGACGCCATCTCTGTTGTGTATGTTTTTCTTCTTCTGCATTAACGGCTTCAATAAACTGTATCTGTACATGATGAACGCCACCGTTCGGTCTGAAAGGGTTACTGCATCGGCTTATAGGTTCAGTATGTGCATAAAAAAAGAAATCTTTATAGTTCATTTAATGATATTCTCTCTTTGTAACAGGATTAAGATAATAAAAAAAATTCTACTTTTTTCTTTCCCTGCATATTTCAAATCTTTTATTTCAGTCTTGTATTCATCTTAGCCTTTTAATGTTGTCTCATGGTACCACCTAGTGGGTTAAAAGGGAATAAAGGTTTCCCTTCATCAAGTTCCTAAGTAACAAAAAAATAAATAAATGAATTAATAAAAACACTAGGGATAATCACGACAAAATATCCTAGGAAATTAAAAAACAATTAATAGAAACAATCAATTAAAAATACATAATAAAAGATGGTGATAACAAAATAAAAGTCTTAAACTGTTTTTCAAAGGAGTCCACAGAGTGGGAGACTATCCACAGACCAGAGTTATTCAAGTTTTTGTAATGATCTAATTAGTGTTTATTTTTTATTTTGCTTTGACTTTTGGCTTTTAATTCAGTCTAGTTGCAGTTACCCAAGAGAATTTGCTCGTTTCAGTTTAATCTTTACTTTTTTTGAAAATGTTTAGTTTCTATTAGTTTCAGTCTTATTTTTAGTTGCTATTCATTATTATTGGATCGTGCAATGCTCACAGTCTTGTAGACATCAAAAGACTCAATAAATGTTTCCATCAAAGCCTCGTCTGGCAAGTTTTGATAAAAAAAAATAACAAACACTAATACTATATTTACTCATTGAAAACTAAGAGTAAATATAGTAAAGGAACCTTTAAAAAAAAACAAAAAAACAAGCGCGTCCATGCTCACAGGTGTACACACGGGTGATCACACCCACAAACTACACCCTTTTTGGCTCCTACCTCAAAGCACACTGTGTTCTGTTGATCTTATGTGCTGCACAATAATGTTTAATATTTAGTATTTACTGTCATATTCCCATATATCATTGTGATGTTGTTTATTCTATTACTCTTGTTCTCTTCTGCTTGTTTTCTTTTTTCTTTCTCAGCAGGTGACCCAGGTGATCGATATATGCATTTTTTTTCTCTGCCCATTCTGTTGGTTTTTGTCTTTTGCCCTTCTCCCCCGTCCCTCTTCTCAGCTGTTTCTCTTTCCCTCTTTCTTTCTCCCCTTCTTTCCCCCAGTCAAGTCTGTCCCGTATTCAGTAAGTGAAAATAAAATGAACAATAAAAGGTGAATCAAATGGACCATTACGACAAGGCTGGGATGGTCAATTTGGTAAAGTAAATCCGTTGGGCATCTTTCTTTGCCTTTAGACAACAATTCTGATGGCAAAAGAGCCAAATGGGACAGGCCAAAAAAAAAAAAGAAAACTAATGAATTTTTTTAAAGTTCACAGATTAATTTTAGTTTGTTTTAACTTTTTATAAGTTTAGATTTTAAAAATATGATATATTTAGATTTTTTTATTTTACTGAATTTCTTTTTCACATCTAGTTTTAATTTTTAGTTTAGTTTTAGTGAGCTATAATAACCTTGCCACAGACTGAAATACTCTGTCCCCCCAGTCTTTAGTCTCAACAGAAACTAATACGTTTTTAGCCTGCACTTAAAGTCTTCTCATAGAAGTGTGTTTAAGAAGAAGCTCGATGCCTCAGAGTCACAGGGTGGTGGAGCCCTTCACCCCTAACATAATTTGAAAGGTGGGGTACAGCATGAACTTACTGCCAGCCTATAGCAGGGCTCTCTCTTTAACATGCTAATTAATCATTCCTACCATATTCTTCTGACTCTTTTCTTTAGAGTTGATCTTGCTTGTGCTTTACCCCTCTGAATAGTGTTTGTGTGATCTTTGGTCTTAGAACGTGTTTTGCAAGCTAAAATCTGCAACTTCCTTTTTGTTCAAACAAACCCAATGTGCAGTTGTAATTTTTAACTTTTCATTTATTTTTCAGTTCCTTCTGTGAACATCAATTCTGGTTTTATGTTTACATTTCAAAGATTATATTTTGATGTTTGTGATTTTAATAATAAGTTCCATTAAACTGACCTGCAAAAAATGACTTATCGTTTGTCACTACAGTAACTACGATACTGATGTTCTAACTATTGTCCCCATATTAAAAATGTAAGCATAAAACACATGCATGCAGGAGATTTTTGCTATTTTTTTAATACTTGTGAAAGTAGTTAAGCATAACTGCTAAACTGGAACAATAATGCTGATAAAGGCCACAAGCCCAGAAATGTTTTTACTCTCCTTGATGTGTCTTTAAAGTAGATTAACGCCAGCCAGAAAGCCTATTCTCTTTATCTACAGCTATGTTGGATTTGAAAATCAAGATTTCCTTCTGACTTTTAAAAGCTTACCTTTCAAAGGGGAACACATTTGTTCCCTCACTTAAACCTCTGTACAGTCATAAATAAAAAGCTTTGTCATTGCATGACATTGCTTTTTGTTCAGTGGTCATGTGATAATATTACTGTAACGTCATCCAAACTTCTAATCAATGTATTGTATATCATGGATTTGCAATACTGTCCATTTAAAATGTCATACCAAATAAAGTGATTTGAATGCATGAGTAATGTTTTCATTGACACAATTCTAGGATTCATTTAGATCCTAGAATAGGAAAAGAAATGCTCCCAACAAAAGGATCCGGAAGTCAGGGAAGGGCTGGAATTTCAGTTCTCCCCTGGGAGGGCCCTTCTCACTGCAGCGTGTTACGTAATCAGAAGTTGCATATAAAATACTCATCTGGACAGAGAAAAATCCCAGTAAGAGAAACCAGACAAAAACCGGCAATCAGCATGTCTCTCGATCCAGAGAAGGTATGCCTGACATCTTTAAACTGTTTTTGTTGTTGTTGTTGCTTCAGCTAGAGTTTGCTCTAATTTTATGGTGTTTGTCTCTTGTTAAGCATGTAGAGCTAAGCTAATGACAATGGATTTATCAGTTAAAGTCGTGTAAATGCATGCATGAGCCATGTGGGTTCATTTTATTTTGCAAGTCAGAGGGTTACTTTATCAATCAGCACCAGTGTTTTTGTTGAGCAGCAGCCAGACTTCCTCTCTGAGCACACCAAGTATTTTTGTGCTGTTAACCATTTGTGATCTCGCTCTCTCTTTAAAGAGGACTTGTATAAAACAGCTTGAAGCATGATCTGACTTCATTACCCACAGATGGCCCTGCAGTACCTGATTACATTACATTACATTGATTTCTCAGCCTTGATAAAGACAGCAAGAGCCCTGGTCCTCATAATATTTCAGGAAAACTTTAACAAGCCTGAGAGCAGCTGAGTGGTATTTCTATTATACATTTAACTGGTTAGTACACAAACAAAGTGTCCTCACTCTGTAGAAACAGTCAGCCATTGTAACCATTGTAAAATTTAATTTGTACCATCTGCATTCATACTATGAGTGAAATTTATAACTTGCAAACAATATTTTCCCTGCTTTATATTCTCTCTCTGTGTGTGTTTTATTTATTTATGTACATATTAACTGCATCATAAGTGATTTATTGTTGTTTTTAATCATCATGATGCACAACAAGTGTCCTTTTTGGGACAATAAAGTGAATTTAAGTACACATTCAGATTTTTAAAAAAATCTGGTTTTTGCTTTTTTCCCAAAGGCAGTTTTTCCTTCTCGACAACAACTGTTTGATTTCCATGGAGTCTCAATGATTCCCATTTTCACAACCAACTGGGAGAACGTTCAAAACTTTCAGGCCAGACCGGATGATATACTTATTGCAACATATCCCAAAGCAGGTCGGTCCAAGAAAGAGGTATAAACCTTTACAGCTCATCAAAGTGTGTGCATAGAGGTCAGTGTAGGGGTCATGTTAACTTCTTTTCCCCCCCTCTCACTTTAGGAACCACATGGGTCTCCCAGATTCTTGACCTGCTGTATTTTGGTCAGACAGAACGACAGAAAACCATCCCTATCTTTGAGAGAGTGCCCTTCCTGGAGATTGCCGTTCCACCTTTGTTTTCAGGTTTTTGATCAAATGTACCAATTTTACACAAACACCTACAAACCATTATGGATTGTTGGCCTCTTTTTCCTCAAACTTGACTAAAATCATATCACTATGTTACCGTTGGTTAGTTGGTATTAACATTTTACACAGTCAAACTTGTGTTTTTTTTTTTCATCTTCATCCCTCCATGCAGGAAAAGACCTGGCAGACAAGCTGCCCACCACCCCTCGACTCATTAAGACTCATTTTCCTGTCCAGTTTGTGCCAAAGTCCTTCTGGGAACAAAACTGCAAGGTTGCATTTTCCTGTCTGTTGTTTGCATCAGCTCAGTGTATCATCAAGAAGCTGATAATAATACCGATAATAGTGCAGTTTTCCACTTGGCTTAAGTTAAACTTGAAGCCTACCAAGAGAATTTGAGATTCATTTGAGTTAGAGTTTGTTTTTCCTTTTTAAAAATCTTTTGTAGATTGTCTATGTAGCCCGCAATGCAAAGGACAACATGGTGTCTTTTTTCCATTTTGATCGCATGAATATTGCTCACCCAGAGCCTGGCGACTGGAGCAACTACATCCACAGATTCATGGAAGGAAAAAGTATGCATAAAATACTATATTAAAGTTATTTTCATTTACTGTATGACTGCTATTTTCCTGTTTCTGTGGCCCTAGTGGTGTTTGGCTCCTGGTATGACCATGTGAATGGCTGGTGGAAGAAGAAACAGACTTACTCAAACATTCACTACATGTTCTATGAAGATATGATTGAGGTAATCTGATTCCTTTGTGAGTTCCTTTCTCTTTACGCTACTTGCTTGAAGCTCTCATTTAGTAGCTTATAATGCTGTAATGATGGCTGTAATGTTGTGATGATACAGTTAGGTCCATAAGTATTTGGACAATGTCACATTTCTTTTGTAATTTTGCCTCTGTGTACCACCAGAAAGGCTGTTAAATCAAGCAGTCAGTTTGTTTTAACTTAACAATAACTGGACACACTAATATAGT